CCCCCCTCCACCCCCTCCACCCGGCCGTCCATCTCCCCCTACTCATCCACATGCCCCGGGCCGTCAGCACCAGTTATTCATTCCTGTGTCACAACCTCAACACTCAGCAGCTTAAAAGAAAAGGAAGGAAAGGGAGAAGAAGCTAGCCAGTTTAAAGAATGGGGGCAACACACTGAAGGAAGACAGAACCGGCTGGAAAGCGCTCTCATCAACGAAACCTGGGGCCATTTGAGCAACAAAGTAAATGACAGTGAAGGATTATAGTCGGTGGCTAAGAAACCCATGAGTCTACACTGATGGAAAGAAATAATAGCAGGGAAGGAGGTGGGTTCCTCCAGGGAAAGAGGAAGCCCTTTCCGCCAATCAGCACAAATCGTCAAGGTGCTAACACTTGGGAATGACAAGGTATTTACGCAGTCTCAATATGGTACACTACTCTTATTTGAGTTGGAGTTTCACTCTGTTGCCCAGGCTGGAGTGCAATGGCACGCTCACAGCCACCCCAGCGTCAACACACTGGGCTCTGATGATCCTTCTGCCTCAGTCTTCCAGGTAGCCAGAACTACAGGTGCACACTACCATGCCCTGTTAATTTTTTAAAAAATTTATTGTGGAGATGAGGTCTCACCAAGTTGCCTAGGCTGGTCTCAAACCTGTGGGCTCAGGTAACCCTCTCACCTTGGCCTCCCAAAGTGCTGGGATTACAGGCTGAGCCACAGAGCCCGGCCTGAAATGGTAATCTTAATGTTGGAGAAATCCAGCAGATATCACCTTAACCAAGTAATCACATGAACTTTGCCAATCACGGGATAAATTAAAATGAGACTTGAATCATGTGCCTTTTGGTATCACACACTGAGAAGACAGCCTCACTGTGGTCTTCCGTCCCAAAGTGCACAACCAGAACCTGTGAGGAACAAACCCAGATGGCATGAGTCTCCGCGGCAGGCCTGAGCACTTCCGAGACGTCAGGGTCAGAAACCGCAGAGGGGCACCCAGGAACGGTGCTAGAGCAAAAGGGACCAGACAGGCGCGGCACCAAAGTGCAGGACCCTGACTGCGGTCTGCTGCGTAAGAGGTGACGGGAACAAAGGGCAGTCTCGCTAGGCCTCAGATTCGTACGCTGTATTGTTTCAATGTGAATTTCCTTTAACATTTTTTATTTAGTTGATTGGTTGACTTTTGAGTCGAGGTCTCACTCTGTTGCCAAGGCTGGAAGGCAGTGGTGTGATCACGACGATCGTAGTTCGTGGCAGACTTGACCTCCTGGGCTCAGGGGGTCCTTCCACCTCAGCATCCTCAGTAGCTGGGACTACAGGCGTGTGCCACCATAACTGGCTATATTGTTTTAATTATTATTATTGTTTTTTTTGAGTCAGAGTCTCGCTCTATCCCCCAGGCTGGAGTGCAGTGGCATGCCCACAACTACTGCAGCCTCGACCTGCTGGGCTCAGGTGATCCTTCCACCTCAGCCTTCCAAGTAGCTGGAGCTACAGGCACATACCACCACACATGGCTAATTTTTTTGATTTACTGTAGAGACAAGGTATTGCCAAGTTGCCCAGGCTGTTCTTGAACCCCTGGGCTCAGGCAATCCTCTCACCTCAGTCTCCCAAAGTGCTGGGATTACAAAGGTGTGAGCCACCATAACTGGCTGAAAAAGTTTTTTAAAATATGCTTTTCCACTTCTTTCAGACCAGTGTTAACTTCTTGATATTGATAACTGTACTGCCATTATGAATGATAATTCCTTGGTTTATTTATTTATTTACTTATTTTGAGTTGGCGTCTCACTCTGTCACCCAGACTGGAGTGCGGTGGCACGCTCCCGGCCACCACAGCCTCGACCTGCTGGGCTCCGGCGATCCTTCCACCTCAGCCTTCCAAGTAGCCGAAACTACAAGCGCATGCTACCACGCGCAGCTAATTTTTGATTTATTGTAGAGATGAGGCCTCGCCAAGTTGCCCGGGCAGGTCTCGAACCCGCGGGCTCAGGCAATCTGCTTGCCTCGGCCTCCCAAAGCACGGGATTACAGGCTGAGCCACCGAGCCCGGCAATTCCTTGTTTTTAGAAAATACACACTAAAGCATTTTGGGGCAAGAGGAATCTTCTGCAACTTATTTTTTTTTTAAGAGAGGGGTTCTCGAGTGCCTCAGCCTCCAGTGTCACTTATTCTGAAGTGGTTCAGGAAGAAAGCTACAAACAGAGAAAAAGATAAAGCAAAGGCAGTGGAATGGTGACACGCAGCAATGCCAGTGAAGGACATCTAGGAATTCTTTGTACTATTCTTGCAAGTTTTCTATAAAGCTTGAAGTTACGTGACAATAAAAATTTTTAACTTTGACAACAGTCACTGTCTTGCCCGTCGATCTGCAATCTGGGCGGGGCTCGGTAGAGACGGCGAGTCTACGCTCACACGGCATTGGTGGCTGGGCTCCAAGTACCAGTATCCCGGAGACAGCTTCCTCTGTCCCTTGGAGAGACTCAATCACGTATCTCCTACAGCTCAGGAGGGTCTTCCCAAAGCCTGAGGGCTACTCCTTGGAAACGGCTCCACCATCGACGTCAGGAAGGACAGCCCTGTCCCCCAATCTCTGCGGGGCCCAGCTGGCAGCAGGCCCGGCGCCCACCGCCCTCCCCACGCAGGGGCTGCTCTGAGTGGCATGGCCGTTGCCAAAAGCCAGCACCACGGGGCCACGAAGCAGGCTGGGAGGGCCTTGGAGGCTGTTGGTCCCATCCCTGCGGGCAACGAGGGAGGGAACGGGGAGCAGGTGTCCCCCACCCTGGCCCACTTGCTCAGGTGTGAGTCCCAGTCGCAGCCCAACCCTCTCACCTGCTTTTGCGAGGCCTCCCTCCGACTCTCTACAACGGCCAGGCGCCTCCGCACGAATGGGGCCAAACGGGACGGGAGGGCTGTCCCCAGCGTCCGCGGCGACTCCCGCTTCCCTCCTGACGGGCTGCGCTCTTTGACGGGCCTTTCTCGGACAGCGGCTTTTTGTCCTTTCTTTTCTTCCTTTTTCGCGCCCGGTCACTTTTTGCTGCATGGGGGAGCCGGGGCCTCGCCCGTGGCCCGGGCTGGTCTCCAAGACGCTCCTTTCCCGGGCGCTCCGCTTCCTCCGGGGGCCGGCGCGGCCACCCCGCAGGGAACGCCAGCAGCTGCCGGAGGCCACCGGCCCGTCCCTCGGGCTCCCGCGCCCGGGAGCTGGCAGGG